TTTCAAATTCTGTATAATTATTAGGAAATACTTGTAGGAAAATTCCAAAATGATTTCTCTGAAAGGCTTTGGAAATTTCGTTTCAGACCACTCTGAGTAGGAATCCCGACTGACCAGTCCGCACGGCCAGGCGGGGTACATGTCTATAACCCTCACAACTCTGAAGATTGATGTGGGAAGGTCAGTTAAGCCCAGGAGTTTGAGACTAGCCTGAGCAACACAGTGAGACCTTGTTTCAAATAATGATAATGATAAGGAAAAAAGTTGTTTTAAAAGCTTGCATAATCCCTGTTGGATGATGCAGACCAATTCCTACTGATGGCACGGCCCACTTTTCCGTGTTCATTGCCTCACACGGGATTTATTCACCATCTGCGCTGTCCCGCCTAAGTTCCACGTTAGTCATCACCACCACCTGACGGTGTGTTAAAGCCAGTGAACTGAGCTCAGATCGGTGTAATTACTGCCCAGTGCCCTTCTGTCCATTTACTTGACGGAGCAACGACATCAATGATGAAAAATCTCCAAAAGCCGTTATAAATGCCAACGTTATATGTTTTATTTTTTAATCAAGTAATTTTTTTAAACCTCAACAAATCCATAATTGACAGAGTAAGACATTAGGCATGAAATGAGAACATCAAATCCACGGTCTGCAGAAAGGCAAAGAGTGCGTGAGACCATCCAGGCGACTGCGCACGAGGGAGGCGCCCTTCCTAACGGCGCCTTCTTTTCTGTCCTTTAAAAACATACAGCTCAAGTGTTATTTTTCACTTGTAAACAACGTGAGTCAAAGTGGATGATGAGGTAATCTAAATACTACATGGGATAATTTAAAAACACTAGATAAAACACTGTATTAAAGACATATAAAAATCAGGGTTCACTTTGGTCTCTAGGATGGTTAGAGTTGTTAACACCAAAAAGCAACACACACTAATTAAAGCCAGCTTGGTGGCGCGTGCCAGTGGTTGATAGATGCAAGTGATTCAAGAGGTAGTCAACACCATCAGTTTCAAGCTGGTGACTCTCACAAGGGTTAAGCCACGGATGTATTAAATATCATAATACTTTCTCACAGTACAGTACTTTACTATAACTTGCAGCTTTGTTCCAAATATAAAATTTAAAAATGAATCCTATGTTAACCTTTCGCTCTGTCTGAACAACTATGGACACAGATCACATAACCACCACGTCTTGAAGAGGCTGCTGATAGTTATGCCAGACAGAATTTGATGCTTTCAACAAGCTGTTCTTCTCTAACACAAATAAATCTCATTAAGACATTCTAGAAAATTAAAAGTCAGTGCAGCTGCACTTGTACACACTTTCCCAAATTTTATAACCAAAGGGGAAATACACATATATATTTTATGATAAACATTTCTTAGAGAAAACAGATAAATTAATTTAAATTAATTTTAAGACTTAATGAGATTTCCCATGTCCTGTATAATTCATCTTAAAGTGAATGTTACAAAGTCTATTAACACTTATGGGCTTCTATTCACAAACTAAATACAACCAGCAGTAACTTGGGGCCACACTGGTGCAAAATCCAAAGAAACACATCAGCAATCAAAGCATTCTCGATTTGGTGGTGGGACAATGCTAATAACATGACATTTCTTGATCTTTTTCCTTACATTGCACACTAAACTTCCAAGTTATAAGCAGGTAAAAACGTTGCTAAATCTTTCAGGTGTAAAAATACATCCAAGTCTTGAAGTAAGGACTAGAAATGCAAGTATAAAAATGTTTCCACGATACTCTGCCGTGTAGCAAATGAATAGCTCATAGGCCTCAGAGACGAGTTAGGGCATCTAATTTAGGAATTACCTTCGTGTCAACAGGAGGGTGAGGCTGGTTAAAATGCAACTTCATTTACAGACCTGCTGCCCCACTGTCAGTAACCCCTGCAAACCAACGCTCCACACAGACTCTTCTTCCTCGGTCGCTGGGCATGGCACTGTGTGTTCACGCTTGGGTAAACCAGTGCTAGTGAGTTGTGTGCCTGGGGCTACAATGTTGCAACACGGTTGGATTCAGGGCAACAGACACAGAAATGAAGGAGACTGGCATCTTTTCAACTGTTTGCCCAGCACAAATACCCCAAAATACTCATACGTGGACCCCTCTTCCTGCGACCCCTTTCTGCCCCCACCTCTGGGCAAAGCAGAGAGAGTGCTTCTGTGTTCTGTTTTGCTGAAGTTGAAGAGTGCCCATAATTTTTTAAACTAAATACATGATCATTGTAAGGAAATGCCTGGAGACTTGGCTAACTAAAATGGGATGCTTTGTTTTTTGCTAGTGTTTGTCAGAAACATGCAGTTGTGAATTGCTATCTATCACATATGTAAAAAGGTTCTGTACCAGAGAATTACCAGCCACCTGTGAGGCTAGAACAGCACACAGGTGTGCCAGACATCAACTATGAGGTAGCCTTTTGCTGTAAACAGAATAATATTTCACCCCCGTAAATGGACAATGTGCTCGTGTCAGTGATAGTCACATCTGCCAGGAGTAGAGGAATACTGCTTTTGACCGTTTCTCACATGAAATAAAAATAGGAGAACTGATATCGGATATTCAGAAACTTTGATCTATGTCAAACTCAGAGGTAGTTACTGACATCAGTACATAATACTTCTATAAAGGTCTCAGGTATTTGGTTTATTTGGAGTAAGCAGGACTGCAGACTAGCCTGTGAAGAAACAACAATAACATAGGGTGTGTTCCCTGAGCAAAGTTCTTTGTCCTGAGTATGTATGTAATAGTGGTAATATTCTCATATAAAAAATAAACCCCAACTTTTAACCTTAAGATAGGTTTGGTATGTGCTCTTAGTAGTTCAGCCTTGTAAGATGTTGAAAAGGATTTCAAATTGCATCCATAAGGTCCACAGTTCCAAAGTGTTTCTGTGTCCTTTTACCATGATCTCAGCTGTGAATTTTTATATGTAAACAGGGAATGTCCAATTTTGAAGTCCATAATTTCCTAGTTCTATAAGGTCAAGGAACTTTGGTTTGAATTTTCAAAGTGACTTACCATGTTTTGCATTTTTTACTGTTAACCTGCTTATTATACCTGCTAAAAAATTAAGCAATGCCACTTTGATTTGTCTACATAATTTAAATAAGCTTGAAATCCTCACGTAAGGCAAGGAAGTACTTCTCTACAGCTATATCACATTCAATATCGTCAAAGGTAAGCTCTGCATCACAGCACGATGCAATTTCAGTATATATACCACAGAGATTCTCACACACACTGTTGTGAAATTCCAGCTGAGCTGTAAGGGACTGGTAACCCAACCAGAGGCATGTTCTCCTTACGATGGCTTGCTGAGACAGCAGCAACGGGAAGTCTCCCAGGACAGGAGGAGGAGGAGAAGGACCGAAAACTGGTCAGCAAAATGTGTCTCCTTTGAGTCATGCTATTTTCTCTTTTTGATTATCTGAGCTTATACCAACAGGCCCATACAAAACTATATTTATTGCCTAACCATAATTAGCTGTTACCTTCCTGAAGATGTTTCTCAAATTTGCCCATAACACCTAGAGTCAGGATGACCCCCCAAAAAATCTTTTTCATAACTGACACCTAAAGGAACCAATACTAGGACTGGCCCCTAGCAGATTTATTACTATGAATACAGATGAGAACCAGCCTGAGAAGATTCTCTATCCCTACCACTGAATGTCCATCCTGAATCTACCATACAGGTCACTCCAGCATAAACACTGAAGACACCTTCCATATTATCAATCTTGTTGCATAAAATACTTGTAGCTATCTGGTGGAGGGGTTTTGGTACCTGTGCCCAGGCTTCTCACTCATTCTATTTGCCTGACACCAAACACTGCCCTTTTCAATATCACTGTCAGCTCACACGGACTGGGCAACTGTGAGCATTCACTGAATTTTCATTTTCAACCCTAGTCTTTTGTTCTTTTCTGTGCTGCTTTTGTTTGTTTGTTTTAGAAACAAGTTGATTAACTCCCCAGGGGAAATAAACATAGCCAGTCACCAAAAACACTTGCTGAGCGATTGGAGTTCTCCTTTAAGATCTTCAGTAGTAAGTGAGGAGGGCTCAGGGCTCCCTGCTCTAAGGGGTGGTCACAAGATTGACTTAGTCAAGAGAAGCTGCTGCTGCCCCCCCCCGCCAAAACCTCACAGCATGGAAAAGATTACAATGAGCTGGTATCAAAATACCACTGAAAACAGTCAAGTCACTATCTTTATACCCTCCCCTTCATTTCTCTTAATAGGCATCTAATTTACAATCAAAACATAGAATTAAAAACATTGAAATATCGGCACAGAAATTACACATTCATTGTCTTTTCTGGAGTTATGAATCCCAGAATAAAAAAACAAAACAAAACAACACAACTATGGCAGTCAGAGGCATATGGAATTAAGGTACTGCCTTCAAACGGGGAAAAAAAATACCACTTCACAGACTTCAAGAAAAAGAGACAATCCCAAACTCGGGAGAAGTGGATGTTTTAAAAACCTTTAGTACCATATGATTGGCAGCTCTGAGATCTGAAGTATCCTTTGGTTCACAAAAAAAATAACAGTCATGGTTTTGTTTTTATGTAATATAGAAGAAGTGGTATTTCAAGAAAACTCCAGGGTTGTTTTTGAAACCATTTAAAATACTTTACAAGGGTTTTCAATTCTTGGAAATGTCCAATTATGTGAGGGAGGGTGTGTGCTTGTATCTATATACACACATATATAAAGGCCAATTCTCTTTATATATATGTCGACTTTCTATATAAAAATCCTCATGTGTACACACACACAGACTCAGGCTCGCTCCCTCTCACACATGCACATGTTGATATACATAATATCTCATTCTCTGAGTAACATAAAACACGACACCCTGATCAAATGTAATTTGCTTAGAGTGATTTGTCTGTTTAAAAATTCACAGTTCCTCAACAGTAGTTAAAATACCAGGTCAGCTGCTGCTTGTGAAATACTGTTCCCCTATACTTGCATGAGGTAGACGTCCCAACCGGGTAAAGAAAGCGATACATTAACAAGTGTTATGTCTTTTTCCTTTTCTGGACTGAAGGCCCCTTCTTGCTTTGCTCTTCTGGTGCTGCAGACGACTTGGAGGAGGAAGCTTCTTGAGGTGACCTGCCTGACCGTTCTGAGATCTCTGCCCTCGCCTCCTGAGGAAACAGTGGTGATGTACAGCCATGCCCGCCTCCCATTTCTCGAGGGAAAGTCGAAGTGCATGGCTGGGATTCTGCTTCCTGTCTTCCCTGAGAGCTGGCGGGCGGCTGTGCAACAGTTTTATGCGGGCAGTTTGCCACCATGTGCGTGATGCTCTGGCAGTAATGGCACTTCTTTGGCTGAGGAGGTAGACTACATTCCTTAGCATGATGATCAAGGCCACCACAGTTGTAGCATCTGCAAGAAAGAATGACGAGAACCCTTAGAAGCAGGTAGCATGTTTCATAAAGCATGTCACAAACTGCCAATGAGATCAGCTTATTTTAACGTGCCTTTCTTTTCTGTCTGTTTTGAGACAGGGTCTCGCTCCGTTGCCCAGCTAGAGTGCAGTGGCGTCACCAAAGCCCACTGCAACCTCAAACTCCTAGGCTCAAGTGATCCTCCTGCCTCAGACTCCCAAGTAACTGGGAGGCTACATATCACATGGCCAGCTATTTTTTCTATTTTTAGTAGAGATGGGGTCTTGCTCTTGTTTAGGCTGGTCTCAAACTCCTGAGTTCAGGTGATCCACCCACCTTGGCCTTCCAAAGTGTGAGAATTTATAGGCATGAGCCACCATAGCTGGCCTAATGTGCTTTCTTTCTTT